TTAACTAGAAAGACTGTTAGCTGCTCGCTGGCAGTGACATCACGGTATTAGATGAGATAATAGGAGGTAAACAAGCGGAAATAACCTGACGGGAGTGCCAGATAAACGATACAGAAGAAAGCAGGCGCGCGATCTATACAACTACTGTAATTGAAATCGATCTCTTTGATCAGAATCTTTGCGCTGTGAAATTAAACATATCCGAGTGATAAATTCATTACGCATTGCAACTTCTATTTGACTTATTCTACCGATATTATCGACGTATCGTGCATCTATCAATAAGCTATCGATAGCTTATCGATAATCGTTAGTAGCATCACCGACACGAGGGCGATTGTCTGCGTCCTGAAAGGTGCGACATCGTAACTTCGCAGAGACAGGAGGTGGAGGCCGAACGAAGCAACGAGGACGATCCTGGAGCGAGGGGTGGAGGGCTGTTGGGACGAGAAAAAGAGAAGAAGAAGCCTCGTTACGTGGTCTGGGATCCCGGGCGTATACGCAATGAGATAACATCGGCCCAATACGAATATACGTGGCCGCGGGCGCGTAACGCGAATTAAAAGGATGACTCAGGTGAGGACGGCGCAGGTTTTCAAGACGCAAGGATATCCTAACGAGCGGTCGATTAAACGACAAAGTCACGGACCGTTCGCCGGCCGATAAATGCCGCTCGCCGCGAGGAAATGAAGTTGTCCGCTCAGTTTTGCGTACAGGGGGACTCTCATCGTCGACGAAACGACGACCAGACGCAGCCATTGCGTTCTAATTGACGCTTTGCAATCGTTTCATAAAGGGGGACCATCATTATTCGAAAAGAAAAAAGGCTTGGGAGTTTCTTTTTAATACGCGGAATGGCCGATGTAAATTCTTTATAAATACATCGAATATCCATAAAAAATCTGTATAGAAAATATGAACATCCTTGTAATGCGTATGCCAGTTTCCAATTGTCTTAAAACAAAGTTTCGTTTTCGTGGACAATTTGAGGGGTTTCATTGAGCAGTCAACGTGTTAGAAAGTTACAGGCAAATATTGTTTGAAGTAGTATTTATGTGATATTTCTTGTCACGAAACGATTCCTTGAGTCCAACGATCACAGTAATTGGTTTTCAGTCATCGTATACACCAGTATCGTGTACAGTAACGTATAAAATTATTTTCTCGTTTTCACTTGTAGTTTACGCTTGGACAAAAATGGAAATACTTTGTATAACGATGTGATCGTTTAAAAACGGAGACTCGGAGATTCTGATCTCGTACGGGACGCCGCGTAGATGCTTCGATCGTGTCAGCTCTGCTTTTCGCGGCAATCGATGTTACAGCGCGCACTTACTTCCGAGAGCGTGCGTGATGTTGCGCTGTCGATCATCGATGGCAAAAATGATGGTGATTTCTGATGGTAATTCACCGCCTCCGGGCGATTTTGTCTGCTTAGCATCCTGCGGGTTGCTTCTCGTGATATTTCGTGCTGATTACAGGAACTGTCGTTCTCGATACGATGATGTTCCTTCATAACGGAGACCTCATTAACTTGATTACGAAGTATACAGTTAAATGACGTATGCAAACACGTTCCGTATGGATTACTGCGGTGGAATTCGTATTTTCAATTTTTCTTTTTACCTCTTACGTTGCAGGAACTTGACAAAATCGTTCCAATGCCACCTCGTACAATTATAATAGTTCCATGATTGTACGCTATTTAGCTACACCTGGACTCGAAGTTTAAAATAACAGTGCGTTCCCCTCTTTTAAAAACGTTGGATTATTTATGGACCATCCCTCAGGCAAACTTCACTTCACACCTTGGGAAATAAAAGAAGCGTTCGAAATGGTCGTCCGTCGAGGATGCAAGCAGACAGTTTTTGCTGTCCAGCAGCAAATGCCACCCACGCGAGTCGCATAGGTGCTTGGCAACGAATCTCGAGCGGAAGCTAGCGGTCCAGGCCCCGATGAAGTCACGACGATTCGCACGGGACGGAGACGTTGCCGCGTCACGAAAGCAGCTCAAGAGCTCGAATTAAGTTCTCTCTGTCCCTTGCGTTTCGTCCGTTCGTTCCTCGCTTTCCGCCTCCCTCGTTCGGCTCGCAGGCTCACGCTGGTACCACGGTCCGTGAGTCGGAGGCGCGATCTCATAATTATTACGTCGCGGAAGATGCGAAGTGACGCGATGATTGCCCCATCGCGAGGCTCCTTTAAAGAGCCCACCATCTCGCGGCGTTCCCTCCGCCCCTTCCCACCCTCCAATTTATCCTCGCATTTCGCAGCGTAATTGCGTCGGTTTCGGCGAGACAATGGCGTTTCGCCGCGAATCAAGGAACGATCTTATCTGTACATGAAACGCGTCGTTCCCCTCCGTACACCGACCCCCCTTCTTCTCTACCAATTGATGATTTATCGCTTTAATAACAGTATCGAAAGCGGCTGCATAGCTTATTACCGATCGTTCATCATTCGCGGGAGGATCTTTCGATTGCTGGAAATAAATTTCAATTTTGTTTTTCTCCACGCGTCCGTTCGACGGTTTCCATCGTCGTCTCGGTCTTCCTGGATTCGCGTGTCAGGATTTGGTCATCAACGCGGTGTAACGACGTCGATGAAGGGCGGAATGAATCTCCTAGCGAATAAAAACACTGTAAAAACGAAGCCTTCGCCATTCATCGATGTAATTAACGGATTTTGATCGCACAATAGTCGAGACGAGGGTCTGTATGGAGCACTCTTCGAGTCAGTAAAGTAGGCGGGGTGGAATTGCTTCTTATCGGCTGTCGTTGAGACATTTAAGTCTTTGGAAAATCGCTTATGCGTCCAATAATAGATTTGCTCTTGCACGTAAATGGGGGAAAGATATGAGACAGTTATGTTTTCATTTGGAGCATATGTGGAAAGACTCGACAACTTTTGTGTGCCCCGATGTACGAGGACACGTCGAGGGTATGGGCGCCAGAAGAAAAAGAGGCGAGGGCCAAGGGGAGCGTCCTCCTCGTTGCACGGTAGAATGCGCCGGTCCGCCATTTTCGTGGCGGCGCAACAGAGGCGTAATAACTGCTGGAATTCATGGTAATGGCGATAATGCGTGCCTGGAACGATGGAGCCCGCAGGGGCTGAAACGAGGAGGAGGGCGAAACGAAGAGGCCCAAGACAGAGGTGGGGCACCCTGCCACGTAGCGGAAACTTACGTATGCCCTCGCGTACGTGTGAACTTGGCCTCACCAGGAGAGAACTGCTCCTCTGATTGGACGAATTCTTTCGACCGGATGTGGAGCTCGGCCTCCGACAACCGAAGGGGCCCTTTCGATCGTTTGTGGTTCGATTTTCTTGGGATTGAAACAACGAAACTTGGTTCTTTTGTCAGCCGTCACGCGGTCTCTTCGAAAATTGATGCAAACGTTGCTGTTAGAGTGTTTTGTTATTTTTATTTTACTTTAAACTACCTGCATTTTTATTACATAGATTCCTCTAGAGAATGTTTTCTATGTACATCCTTGTACAATAGGAATTAGCAGTTATTCGAGACGAAGAGTGGGAGGTATTTCGAATCGATTCTTCCTCAAGCATGACAATACAACTTTGATCTCATCAATCATCAAACGAACAATATGGATCTACGGATTCTTTGAACGAATAAAGATTTCACGTTGCGCACGATTGTCCAACGATTGTCGACGAGTTAAGAAGAAAAGAAATGGATCACGAGAACGATAGCCGAGGGGAGAAGCATAGGAGTGGTCCGCATCTGGGGCTACGATTGGTCGAAACACCCGGGCCGGATGTGGAGGTCGGGCTAAAACGAACCCTTGAATTATCCGTCTTAATTTGTCCGTCACGAGAATTAGCGCGAATCGAATGAAGAACAAGCAGAGCGAGAGAGACGAGGAGATGTTTTACAGGCACGAAGAGCTCGTGGGGCCTCCCATGGCGAGCCCAACTGCTGACCTTCGACCCGGAGGAACCAGCACGCTGAAAGACGCACACCTTGCGTGTTCGTTTCTTTTTTGCGTTTCGACCAGTTCCGTCGTATCGATTATGACATCGTCAACAGCTCCGAGGAACACGACGTTAATGTTCCACGCGACGATACACATTAGCGAGGCGAACGTTCGTTGCGTGTTCTTTTTTCGAAGGCAGCAAGCGAGGCTCGAGGATTGATCGATCGTTTCGCCGGCTCGTTCGCGATCGGGGATAGTCAGCTTTTCGTTATTTAGTATTTGCTTTAGGGATACGTATCTTAACGTTCTATTACCTGTCATCAAAAGCTAATGGGCTGACTCGGCCTGCTCACCTCGTTTGCCCGTAATGGCCGCCCGGTTCGTAACGCCGTCGACTGTATCCCCAGCTGCCTAACCACCGACTTTGAGGCTTTCGTTGTAATGAAATCGCTAACCCTTTTCGTGTGTAAAAAGAGAAGAACAAGAGAGGTATCCCAGGATGGTACGCCAACCGCCCGATAATGGGCATCGTTTCCTCAGTTGTACATCGTTACATCGTGTAATAAACCGATGCAAAAACACGCAGGCTGCAATTTCCGACGGAGATCTCCAAAACACACAATCTCCAGAGGCGTAAGAAAAATTTACGAGTCTTGCACGAAACACGAGATCTCCCCGGTGCATCGTCACGATGGACCAGGGCGTCGACTACTCCGAAGTATCCACCGGACTAGAAAAGCTGTTTGGCGAGCAAACACGCCACAAATACGGTCTAGTGTGTACAGAAGGAATAACCTGGTCCCTAATGTCGCTACCAGCAGCCAGTTTCTCAACCCTTTTCGTGAGTGGTTCGGTTGAAGTGCTTGCAAGGGAAACGTCTTCGAGAAAAAATAATGTCACAAAAGCTGTTAATTTCGAGGAAGGAAATATCGTCGAGTCGTTTGCTTAGGCGGGCACGTAGCGTATTTGAGTCATCGTGCGCGAATGTGACGTTGGAAACGATGAATGCGGAGGCGATGATTACTGCATCGAATCAGAAAAAACATGGACGCGGTGGCAAACACTTACCGAGAGTGCCGTCGAAGGGAAAGGGATGCCTGTCGTTCCTCCACGCCCACGAACACAAATCACAGGTGGTTAGTCCGTCGGTGGTGACACCCTCCTCGGGTAAATAAGGTGGTCTAGGCGGCGGTGGCACGAAGCTCCCTATCACAGCCCAAAGCGAGTCCACGTCGTTCCCTACGCCCGTGTAATACAGCAGTTCTTCCTCGGCTACGCCGGCGAACCAGTCCATGTCGTTAACACTGGGATGAACCGTGTTTGTGCTTGGTGTGCTCGTGCTGGCGACTGTCACCTGCAACGCAAACATTTTTATGAATCGAGAGATAGGGAGAAATGTATTCAATTTAAATGTTATGTTCGTTACACCGAATTATGTACTTCGATATATCGCACAGCATCTCGTGTTCAATGTTTTTAAATCAACTGCCTACGGTTTCTTATACTGTTCGAAAATTTGATTACGTCTATCCCTAATTCCTCAGGATGGTTAACTATGAATCAACGCTTAACAATCCACTCTTCTGTAATCTCAGATTCTTTCAATTCTGATTTTTAATAATTATATTTCACATTGCTTCACACAAGCAATAAATTTAATTATTAAATATGAACGTCGAAACATAAAGTCATAGTTATTTATAAAAAATGTTCCAAACACCGTCAAACCTTTTTAAGCGCTTTAAATCTATTTCGTAGAACTTAATATTACTCTTTAATTTTCTTATTAATTTATCATCTGCCCTGCATTGTTTTCAATGAAATCTTTCGAACGTCAGTTCGCCAATTTCCAGGAAGTAGCCGATTTTGGAAAAGGGATGCCTAACGGGGTTACGTTTCCGTGGAGTACAAACACGCGAACGGTTCCAAATAAACACGGTTAATGGAGCAAACCGTGGAAACACTGGTGTTCTCAATTGGAAGTGCTCGAGCGTCCAGGAAGACAAACTGATGATCGTCTTCCGGCCGTGTTTCGTGAAATGTCGGTTCAAATAGTGTCGAGAATTGTAAAGTATACCGTTCCGACTCGTTCCGTTCTTCGGAGCGGCGCTTTGTGAAGACGGCTCCGTTGTCCTAACTCCTACGACAAACAGTCGAAAACGGTGCGGGCGGCCGCAAACAAATCTTCCGTCCCTCCCCTCTGGGTTCCCCTGTCCCGTTTTCTCTGGCCACTCGGAAGTTTTACGCGCCGGATAAACCTCGATAAACAGTGACAATGCATTCGGTGCATCGTCGACCGAATAACTCGACGAAGCGCGTCCTTGAAGGTGTTGCTTGTAATTGGGACAGCGTACAAAAGAACAATGACGCTGCAGCTTCGAAAATATTCTTTGCGCTGGCCTGCCAACGCGTCATTCTTGCTGCATCGCGATTCATGGGCGGAAGATGCGATCGTTTGGCTCTTTTTCGAGCAACGAGAATGGATCTGGTCAGGCATCTGGGTGTCAGCTTTGTTGTTTCAAAAAATTAAATATGGAAATCAGTGATTTTCGATAGCTTAATCTTTAAATTTGATATAAATACTCTTGTAAACTTATTTTGTTTTCAATTTCTGGTATTAAGAAGAATTGCAAATGTATTTGTAACCGATTGAAACAGTGACTGTTTCGATTCAGATTTAGAGAGTAGACTTTCATCGACATTTAGGTATGTCAGGTATTTTGCTACGGCATCTGTGTGTCCTAAGGCAACCGATGAAACTACCTGTAATACCGAAAAATAGCTGGGAATATTTTTCAAGAGGGTGCCTCTTACTCTCTGTAAGCCTCGAGCATTATTAAGTGCAACAAATTGAGACACAGAAATCCCCGAGGGCTCCCATTCGATAATGGATAACCTTGCGCAAGTTACCGAGATGCATCGTGCGGATGATTATAACGTGATTCTATCCGATTAATGCGGACAACATTGTTGTGCCCCTATACGTAAAACGAACCACCCAGCGAGCACGCTTTAGGGAAGAACGATTTTGTGCGATTTTCTGGTATTGCTACCTACCCACGGAACTGAAATTGCTTCGAAGTAGGTACCGAGGATCTTGCATTAGACTGTGCTCGCCGTGAGCTATAAATTTCACACACGATTTCCCCTAAGTCGAAGAAACGTTCGATGCATAGCGAAGGATTATCTATGTCACGGTTGTTGTTGCTGTTGAAACGTACAAAATATGGGTCCCCGGGGAACCTAGTAATGAGGAATGAATCCATACTATGCGTTCCCATAATTTTCATAACGTTTCTTATGATCATGGAGGCCTGGAAAGATTTATTTCGAAAAGAAACTCATAATTTCACTGCTGAATTGCATTTGATTACACCAAAATTGGTTTGTTTAAAATAGTAAGATGGTTTAATTTAAAATAAAAAGTGTGGATATATTTGTTTAATTTCTGCTGATTAAATATCTCAAGAAGCATTCGATCAATTTTTTACATTGCATTGGACATCGTATAAACGTCTCTTTATATCATAAAGGTAATAAACATCTTCTAAAAAAGAAAGGGCCATCCTAAAGGACATACGTAACATAATTTTAAAATATTTGATACGGAATTATCCTAAAATATTGGACCTTCCGTTAGAGTCGCTGGATTTAAACCTTTGTGGCCGACGGACACCATGCACGTTATAAAAATCACGTATTTCATGAAACAGATGTCCAAAGGCGCAGGCGTGTAGTATCGAAGGTTTATGACACCTACCTGGTATCAGATACAAGAGAACCACTCCTTTATTACCAAGGACTGAATGGGTCGAAAGAAAAATGTAAGCTTCGAGTTTTAATGACTTATAACGCTATCAATATTATCCAATTATCTGTTGAATGAGATTTCTACTATTTACTGTCAAAACATTACGCATGTCAAACCTAACAATAAGTATATTCACCTTGTGTAATACATATAAGTTTTTTTTAAGTAGAAAATCGTAACTAAGATAGAATCTCCATATCATTGATGGTTGGTAGTCGAATAATTATTTACGATAAAAAAAAAAGAATTTGTCGTTGAACACGAATTAGAGTAACAAATTTCACAAAAGGTTCACTTCGTAATAATAAACTCGACCAGCGATTACTACTACAAGTAATTATCTCAGTATGCAACTCGATGATTGCAAGGAGTGACTGGAGTCTCAACGCAAATTCTGCCTCACGAATTGTACGAAACTGACATCGGTTGCAGTCACTCATGCAATCCGGTCTGGAAAATACCAAAAGAGTGCTGGGCACGGCATATCTCGGTGTCCCACAGGACGGGGTGCTTTTGTGTCGAACGAAAGGGGTCCGTGGCCATGATTATGGATGGGCCTTAAGAGCCGATGGGGCCCCGCAGTCGTCGTACAATGGCACGCATTGATCGGCTTAATTACCGTGATATCGGCGTAATTAAAGCTCCGTTGTGTCAGGACCCTTCTCTCGAAGGCGTCGACGAAACCCGTGACTGGACTCCTGGCGTCAGACTCGCGTTCTCCGTCGCCTTTACCTCCGCGTCCTTTTCTTCGTCGCGTCATCGCCGGTCTCTGACCGCTCTGTCACTTTCTCGCGCGGCTTGGCAACGCTCTGTTAATAAGCCATTATCCGCGGGACGACGCGCCTTCGACGAATCGCTGCGTATTCCACGCTTCGGTCGTCTTCAATCGAGTTAAAAAAACGCGCGACTCGTCCCTCGGCCACGGTCACACCGGTCGCAGGAAAAATTTCGATGGAATTTTTAGCGGTCCTCGCCGCACGCTGTGAACGCCTTCTTTAAGGCGCGAGACTGTTGCAAATTAGGAAAGGGGACGAAACTTTTTTATTTGTACCGGGTATAGAATGAAACACCCGAAACGTCTGCCTTGAATAGCTTTGTAAATGACGCGTTGCACGGATTTTGTAGCACTTTAGAGATTGCAATTTATTCTTAAAGGTTAGACACATGGTTAATTAGCCCTTTGCTGTGTAATGACGAATCTGACTCGTAACAAGTTCTTAATTTTAAGTTTCACGATTACGAGGCTACTCACTTGCCATCAAGTACTATATATTAAAATCAATACACTTTTATGTAGGTATTTGTAAAAGAAATCTATTTTTTTCAGTGCTTTTTCCTTGTACGAACAAATTTAAACAAAATTGAATACGTAGGAAAAATTATTTGAAATTAAATCGTACGTCAAGGGGTTAATGTTCGTTATCAAAGTTTTACTATTTAAATTAGATTCAGAACGAAGGTAGCAGCTTCTTCAGTTACTGTAGAATCCAATTACGTAAGAAACGAATGAATTCTCCGATCGACCCAAGTCGACACGTCGAATAATCGAACATCGTCGTCCGCCATTTTCTACACGGGACGGTGTTACGTTTCGAAGTTTTAGAAAATTTATCGAGTTTCCGTCGCTCTTTACAGTGTCAGATCTTCCATAAATCTACCTTAAGAAATTAACGTTGTTCCATAGGATCGATCACAGAATTATTTCGTACGCAAGAATAAAGAAGATCGATACTGTCCGGAAACCTAACCCAAATTCTCGTATCATCTTAATCCGAAGTTCGTGAACATCATTCCGGTAAGTGAACGTAACATTTACTCGGCGTTCCGAATATGCGTGCGATTGCTCGATTAAACCGTAAGTTTTCGAAATTATCGGAGTAGAACCGCCGACACGCGTCAGTCGATAAACCTGTTTAGAAAACGAGAGAAGTTGATTGATTTGCGATTCTATACTATCGTCGTAACGAGCCGCTGGAAAGTGCTAAACCTGCGAGTCACGGCTTTCCGATCTCGTCTTCGGTTTGCTCGTTACGTTCGAACGAAGCGTATCGTTATAATTACGAGGCGTTGGCGTTTACGAGCGAAGGGATGATGCCTCGTACCTGTTAACCCCAACATTCTCTTCGACGGTTCGATCGTTCTCAGGTCAGCTCGCGAGGCACCGAGTCGTTAAAAGATTCGTTAGCTTTGCGTACAATCAGCCAGCGTCGTATTCCCTTACTCTGTTGCTGGCTTGAAATTACATCTTTAACGTGGCGATCACGTCGCATCGAAATTGCGTGCAAACATTATACTCTGCCCAAGTAACAGTACGAACGGTTCGGTATTCGAGATACCTCTTCTGTTTCTCTATCGTGCAACGACACCTTCTGGTAACTTGTTTTTTAAGGGACAAAGGATCCCTCGTAAAATCGAGCCTTTTCCACCGGTCCACGGGACCAGCGCGTCGTCCTTTCCCAAAACCCTTCTCCCCCGACGCGGGATAAATTCCTCGCTCCCGGCTCGAATCCATCTCCGAGAATTACACGGTGGAATTCGCGCCC